AGAATGTGGTAAGATGTGCCCTTTTTTTGTTGTTGAGCACCTGCCCCTTTAGTGGTCTCTGCACGGCCCTGAATACTACAAATCAGCACAAAGCAACAAACTACGTCCAGCCTTTAACTATCAGAACTAAATTGCTCTAACCCCAACATTGTCTTCACTCTAAGTCACTCCCCTGCCAGCATGCCTAGGTGGGCCCCATGTGGGGACAAGGAGGGCAGGCCATATGGGTCCCCATATGGGTTTGTCCATTTAGGGCCCATGTATGGCCCATATGGGCTGTGGCCCTACATGGGCAAACCCCTGTGGTGCCATCGTGGAACCCGCGGACAAACCCATATGGGACCCATATATCAGCCCTCCTTTCCCCCACATGGGGCCCACCTAGGCATGCTGGCTGGGTCATTACCATTATTGAATTAGACTTCTATTTAACTCTAGGCATCCCCCACGTGAGAGGCAAACTGGCATTTCATTTGTAATATCCATTCTCTGTACTCGTTTTCCCTCACTTTTATTACTCTGGGTGACAGAGGACTCATTCATCTCAAAAGTGACAGAAATATGTGTGATGAACAAAGTGGACACTTTGCTCATGTCCTTGCCACAGTAAACAGTTCAAATCTAAAATGTATGCTTTATATCACGTTAAGTTTGTTATGGGGCAAGTTCAGGCAGGAGTAAGGCAGTCTAAAAATAAAAGGGCCACTGTTTAATGAATAAATACAGAGGAGCGCAGGGAGGGGACAGGATAGGCGGTTTTCCTGTGGCAATGTGTTTCTCTAGTGCTTACTGTCATATTTTAGCTGAATATAAATCATGCTGTACAATATATTAACTCCATATAGATAACACCTCTGTCACAAAGGTTTTACATATTCAGCATGCTTTACAATTTTCAAATGTATATACATAATATTCATTCATACACCACTATACATTGTTATAAAATTTTTATATATGTTTTTTTGTTGATCTGACGGTACATTTCTATCGTCAATGTAATTTCTCTTTAGCTGTAAGCAGAAAATCATAATAATTATCAGAAATAAAGATTTGAAATATGTAAGAAAAAATGTATAGTTCGTTTCATGTAGTTAAATTAGTTGCTTAGATAAATGAACTTTTTAAAAATGTTCTCATTAATTAAATATGGCAGTATATAATTTGATAATGGACAATCTGGAAGTTCGAGAGAAGTGGAACTATTTATCCTTCTCTCTGTTTCCACACGGACAAAAACAACAAGAACAGACATTAGCTGCTCTTCCGTTGCCCATGACACCGGAGCGAAGTTCTGACAGCTGATTTCCAAACCGGTTTCCGACACTTTCAGAACCCCAGGTCCCGGTTTTCGGCTTGTTTCCCATTTGGAGGCGTTTGCTGCTTCCCAGCTGCGGTGTTCCTGACGGCGGGTTTACCGGGATACAGCGGCTGATTATGGTGTAGCACGGAACGTTAGCTCGGAGAGACGGAAGGTACCAACAAAAAGCTTAGACAAAACCCTCTCAGGCTTCAGATACAGGCAAAGTTCTTCTTTAAAACAGGATATATTTTTGTCTGTGTGAGTGTGACGGATTTTCTATATTCTGTGTAATCCCCCGGGTCTGTGTATGCGAGATTATTACAGCGTTACCGAAGTGTTATTACGCTAATTTAAGGGAACTGTTCTGAAATTAGGTGAGGGATTTTAAGTTATATTATTGTCCTGCTTCCGAGATCCTTTCAGCAAAACAATAGGTATTTCTCTGGGCTCTTCTCTTTGTTTCAAGAATATTGGACATACGCAGCTTTCATTAAACTACATAAAACTATCTAAAATAAACCAATTAAGAATTATAGGGCCATATCATAAAACTTGACCTACTAGAAAATGTATCTTGCAGTAGAAATAAACAGTTCTGGTGGAAAAACAACAACAAAAACCCAATAACAAACAAAAAGAAAACCCTTGATTCGCCCCTCATTTCCTAAAACCTTGTGAAAACTTATTTGAAATACATTAAGTAAACATTAGTGATGAACATCAGGTTGCAGCAGCACAGTCCAACCCCCCCGCCCCCACCCCAAAACACTGCACAATATTAGAACAGTATGAAGTTGCAATATTACTGTTGAAAATTATGGTGCCCCCTGTTTTGTTGTCATTTCCACAAAATTCAAAATCAATGTTGGGTGTCAAGAACACAAAACATTAATTTCTGTGAGTCTCAAGTTTTGAAATGAAGAAGAAATTGCTTCTACCTGTGCTTCATAGTATCTAATCTATTTATTGTGATAGATACAGTCATAATTAAGTCACTTAATCGCATGATAAATTAAAATGAGCTGAATAATTTCCATTTGGACAACAATAAAGATATATTCTCCTTTAATAACGTTGAAAAACCTGCATTTTGAAAATGCTACAAACATTTTACACCCAGTACAAAGTAGTCAGAATTTTTATTTTTATTTTTTTTTTAACAAGAGTCCAAACTGGCATTGTTGCCTGCTTTCCCTGTCTAAATTGAATGAGGCAATTTTGATTACAAAGACTTCATAATCCATGTTTAGGTATTGTAACTTCAGTTCCTTTGTTTATTTAAAAGGTTTTGCCAGTTCTAGTGTTAAATATTCTTTAGAAATTAACATTTTTTAGATCTTTGAGAGGGTGTACTTTCATTAACATGCCGTTATTATTATGTTTGTTGAAAATGGTCACAAAATGACAAGATTATCATTTATCGCAATAATTTTTTGACAATCTATCATCCAGCAAAATTTGGTATTGTGACAGACCTAGAAGTATTGGAACATTATAGGACAGCTTTACTCTCCAGACTTGTGATGTGTGTGCTACCAACATTTCCTCACTGTTTTCTTCCTTATTATTTGTAATCACTGTAACTCCACCGCTCTACTTGATCCTTTGGATGTTTTTTGCGCTTTACGTGTAGTGACAGTTCATCCAACTGGCCAAATGTAGTATTGGACTCCAGAGAAATGTCGTTTTTTAAATAGTTTTAAATGGTAAATGGATCACTCAGAAGTGTCGAAGTGAGGTTTTGTTAGGAGGTTATAAGTAGTGAATATATTATCTGCTGTTGTGTATAACTTTCTCTGCATCTCGGTAAGCCAGATTAGCTTGTCCTGGTGGGAGAAAGTTAAGGCTTGTTTAAGAGGACCCAAAACCAAGGCAGACCTCTACTATCTTAAAGAAACTACAGTTTCAAAAGCATTTAAAACATATTTTATTCATCAGTTTTCACTGTCTTGCTCTTGTGTTCACTTACTACCCTGGTTGGGAGTTCTCTTTTTATTCTTTTCATTTCCTGTTTCACACAGGAAGATCACTGGTAGCACACCTCCTTCTACTCAGATTTCCTGTGTAAATAATCATCAGGTTCTTAAATAACTATTGAGTGTAAAGAACAGTTTCATTGAGTAAAAAACCTGCTAGGCTTTGATCTTGGACCCTGGATCTGAGATCAACTGACCTGGATTCATCCTAATTCAAGAACCTTTTAGAGTTATAGATATAACTATTAACCGCAGACATACTACCTAGTATTGTAAGAAAATTTCAATTTATTTAAGAACAAGTATTTTTCGCATTAATTTATCCAGATAATAAATAGTAAATTTAGAATTATTAAACTTTGCAATACTACTAGGTGAAAACACAGCTTCAAGTCCTGACAGTCTTTGCTGAGTTTAAAGATGGATTTTTCAAGCTTTTCACTGGACCTTCATAAAAATTAATTGCATTTTGATCAAGCTTACATTTTTTATTTGCACGATTTGTTAGAACAGATTTTCAGTTCTCTCAAAGACGGCAACTTTATCTCTTCTGGATTCCATGTACTGTTTTTTATGCCAGTCAAGCTGCAGCCATTACCATTATTATTACTATATCCATGTCTAAATATGAAGATAGTTAATTATATGGTCTGGACTGAAGAAGAATCACAGCCCAAACTTAGACAGCCATTTAGAAACTTGGAGCTTGTCCAGATATTTTAAATATCACAGGAATTGGAAGCTAAACAAATAAATCTGTTAGCTTGTTTCAGTTTCCAGCTTCTCGGAAACATTGTTGCACAAACCTGTTGTTACCCCCTGCAGCAGTTTGACTAACAGCCGTTAGTGTGTGTTAGGGAAACATGTCAGAGCGGTGAGTGACAGCTGAGGCAGGTGGGCTTTGACTTGGTCTCAGTGACACATTTCATGGCTTCACTGACAACTGATAGCGTCACTCTGCTTCTCCCTGCACACATCACTGTAAACACCCCCCCACCCCATTAATTAGAGCTTCACACACCGAGTAGCTGCATGACATTTAATATTCTGGGAAGAACGTACAGTGTTTTGTATAAACAATTACAGCACTTATCAGCATCAGTAATGGGTAAATGGGATATGAAGCACTTTCCCTGTTTTTACAAATAAAAGTCTGACTTTAATGACTTTGTGGGACGACCTCTTGCTGCAGTTACAGCTGCGAGGCTTTTGGGTTTGATTCCTACGCGCTTTGTCGACGTAGAGGCTGAAATGTTTCCTCATTGTACGTCTAACTCAGCTGGGCTAACTCAGGAGTGTCTGTGAATGTTGATTTTTCAAGTCTTGCCATAGATTCTCAAATGGGTTCATGTCTGGATTTGGACTGGGCCATTCTAACTTACACAGCTCTGGAAAAAAATTAAGAAACCACTTAAAATGATTAGTTTCTCTGATTTTGCATTTTATAAGTATATGTTTGAGTAATATGAACATTGTTCTTTTATTGTATGAACTACTGAGAACGTCTCCTAAATTCCAAGCAAAAATGTAGTATTTATTTGCAGAAAATGAGAAATGGTCAAAGTAACAAAAAACGATGCATTAAAACAACAGTGTTAAGGGTTTAACTCAGGAAGAGTTCAGAAATCAATATTTGGTGGAATAACCATGAGGTTTTCTACGGGGTTCAGTGCAGTGGGCTCTTCATTTTTTCCAGAGGTGTGTGTATGTATATGTGTATGTATATGCTTCGATTGAAACACTTCCATTGTAGCTCTGGCTTTATGTTTCGGGTCGTTGAGGAACTTCCACTCCATCCTCTAACCGCTTTTCTTCAAGGATATTTATCTCCATCACCAACTCTGACCGGCTTCCCCGTCGCTGCTGTTGAAAAGCTGACTCATTATCTTAATTGTACTGAACAGCTGAGCCTTTTGTTTATTACTTACTTTGGAAAGGAGGCAATGGAAAGTTACACCTGTCCACCATTGCTCTTCTTGTTCACAGTAGGAGGGTTTCTGAGTTTATATAATTACGATTTACTTACCCACCTACTTTTGATTGGCTGATCTAACATGGCGAATTGTTGCCAGAAGGTTTTTACACCTGGTGCATGGAGATCTATTGTGGGTGGTTTTACAAATATGGGTTGTGTGGACTCAGTGGTCGGAGTGTGATTCTGAACCACCTTTGTTCAACCTGTGTGAACCACAAAAGGGAAGTGTCACTGGCTCAGTTGGTACATCTTTATTGTAGCTCATACTCTGAGACGGCTGTATGATAATGGCTGGAGAAACAGTCTTAATCTCCTCTGACTTTTTATCTTTATATGCTTCCATAAACAACAGCCACTTTTTATGAGAACATGGAGACAGTTACAGAAGATGTTTAATCTTCAGTTCTTAACATTCAAGAATTGTGACTTTTATGTTGTTTAAAACTGCGAAACTGGGTTTTATTCATCTTAAATTACCTCTTCAGTTAGAAATTGTGCTCCTGTTGCACCAGTTGTCTGCATACATTCTGAGTTTGTATTTTTTTCAGACTTAAACAGAAGTCGAACCCACATTTCCCCCTGCTATTCTTACCAGCGGCACATTGAGCTGCAGACTTTGTTACAGTTTCTCTTCTTTTTTGGCAAATTAGCAGCTTTGTCAGCATATCTGCTAAAAGGCAGCCTGTGTTCACATCTCTGTGCATACCCTGCAGGACCACTGGAGGCAGAGAAACTGAAAGAATTAACAGCCAGATGCAAGAAAATGAAGAATCTTAACAAGTAGTTTTGAATCTGTTACTTCCAAAAAGTGACAGTAATGGCAAATCAGAGAACTCATGATGCATTTGAGGAAGAAGTTGTTAAAACTTATCATGCGTCAAGTAAAACGGAAAGAAGTCTTTTCCCTTCAGAGCGTGACGTTACGCCTCAGAGAGTGAGTGCTGCAGAAGGAAAAGAACAGTTCACAGAAGCTTCCTGTTCCCTTGTACTTGCAACCTCTCACACTGAAAAAAATGTAGAAAAATCTAACCTTTAATTTGATTAAACTTCTTGAGTTAACCAGTTAATACATTTAAGGGCAATTATTTTTGTCTTGTTGAGCGGAAGTGGTTCGCATTCTCATTCAGAAAATACATTTTCTTCTTTTTCAAGTGTGATAAAAACAACATCAAAGAAATCTGTAAGAGGACAGATTCTTTTCTACAACTATACTGTATAATTTCCAACTAGGAAAAGAAAAGAAAACAAAACTACTAAATATGAAAATAAACACCAAACATATCCAAAAATAAAAGGACGAATGAAGTCTCTGTAAACAAAATTGCCCATCAGAAAATCTTAATTGTTAGCGTCAGGGAAAACAGGCAAAACTGCCTTTTTGTGATTACTGAGCCCATTTTAATTTATAATGTGATGAATTAATTTATCGTGTATTGCGACAGGCGTATTTTCAACATCAAGCCAGTTTTTGTTGAACTTATTAATCATCGATCAGATTACGACTTGTCTTTATCTTTAATTACATGTATGTTGGCAATAATAAAATGGACCCTTGTGTGTTTTGATTTGTTCTATCTGCAGACATCTAAGCAGCGGACGCAGAGTGGTGTAGAGCAGACGGAGCAGCTTAGCCATGCTTACACTGGCCAGCAAGTTGAAGAAGGACGATGGAGGAAAGACAGGCCGTGCCTCTGGAGCCTCTGACTCCACCCACAGGGTCTCCATCAGAGACCGCCTCCTCACCAAAGGTGCCCAACAACTTTGCAGCAAGTTCATCCGGCTACAGTAAAACCACAACCAAGAACATACTTAAAAGGGTTTTAATTGTTCCCGATCACCATAAATATTAGGCTAGCCGACTGTTTTGTCTTTTGTTGCTGTTTTTTATTTTTATTTTTATTTTTATGGGCTCAGCTCAATAAGGTTCTTATCTCTTGAAATATTTGATTCATTTATTATAATTTGGTTTCCTTTTCTACTTATCCCCCATTTGATTGAATTTAATTTTCATTTTTTAAATAAGTGAATAGAATTAGTAAATAATTAATCAAGTAAACTGATAAAACAATATTTGTTTTTTTTATGTAAAGAAGATCTTTAATAGATATTCAAATGAATATTTAAAGGCAAAAAATTAAAGGCATATTATAAAATACAGACCTTTGCTATTTAATATATTTTAGCTAAATAAATTTAAATAAATAAGTTATCTAATATATATACAAATGTTTATGTACATATGTACAAAAACAAAAAAAGCTAAAATGTTGATATAAAATAAAAAACGGGCTAAAATATCCAAATAAATATATAGATTTGTAAGTTGATATGTAAATAAATAAACATTTTACTAAATAAGTGAGTAAATAAATACACATTTTAAAGTAAATGAATTAATACTTTATTTTGAGAAAATATATTTATGTCTTTTTGGAAAGTGTATGACGTTTTTGTTATTAGACTGAATTAGAAATATAATCACAGATGACTGTAGTTCATAAACAAATGTATTATTTCAATGTCTGCTGCATATTGCCAGCTTCATTAGGTGAAGCAGTAGCTCTCTGCTGGGTAGCTGTTAATTAGCTTTCTCCTGTAGGTGGGAGGAAGTGAAAAAAAAAAAAAGAACAAACCAAAAATTATTTTCCTCTGAGAATCAATTTAATTAGACTTATTCATAATAGATGTACTTTTATGAATAAAAATAGAAACATCTTATCAAACAAAAACAACAGCATATAGAAACAAAGAACCCAGAGAAACAAAGATTTTGTTTTTCCTTTAGTAGCTGAAAATATGTTTAGCAAAACAGAACCTAATAACCAGAGCCAGCATCAGCAAATCAACTCTCTGCTGTTTTCCTGCTTTTCATCCTTTTTTTCTGCTCTTACTTTCATCTTTTGTCTCACTGCACCAGTCAGTTTTTTTCCCACTGAAACATTATGCTGCATGCAAGACATTTTTTTTCCCCTTTCTTATTCAGTTCCCACATTTGATATTATGTGGAAAAACTTCGTTTATGAACCAGAAGAGTGGGAGTGTTAGTTCTCTGTGCTGTTGGCCTAATTACACAGCGTTCCAAACACTTTGAATCTTCAGGAACCACAAAACACAAAGGAATAATCCCCATCAAGCTCAACAGAGCGATGGTTACAGAAAGAGACGCTCCACATCTGTTTATTTTAAATCAAATGCACCCACTGAGGATCTACTCACAGATCCCCAATATTTAGCTTGTTTTGTTCTAACTCATTGTTCTTATTTTGTCCCAACAGAAGTTGCAGAACTTGAAGCCAATCTCCCTAGTAAGTATGCCGCATATTTTACCGCTCCACATTCTGCCTAAGGCAGAGTCACTGAAACTGGGAGCAGAATAAAAACATCATCAGTTCTTTCTGAGTTAAGGGACGTGGCTGTCAGAGCTCACATCTGCTCTTCATCTTTACTTTAATACTTTGAGATGGGAGTCACCTTTTAGTTACTGAACTGATTCTTTTTGGAATCTAGGGAAATCTACTGCAAGCTTTCAAAGGACTGATGTTCTTCATTTCTGCACAGCAACTGCCCTCGTCACTTTAATCCTTCTTAAACTAAATTAATAGCATCAAGACATGGACAGTAAGTCTGTAGGGACTTACTACTTTCTATGGTATCCTAAAATCAAAAGAATAGATTTATTATCTGACATGTTACATGAGTCAACTGGCTCAAACTAAATGATAACTGGGTATAATGCTCAGTTTCAATATATTTTGTACAATTAGATTAAATTATACAGAAAATTTGTGCAGTTTTTCTGGAATATTGATCTTTGTGATACAGGAAAAATACCTACAGCTGAAACCAGAATTTTTCCTACACCAAATAAAAAGACACTTACACCCTTTTTCACTGTCTGAAGTTAAATCAGACCAAACTTCTCTTATTTAGGTCAGAATTACCAGAATTATTTCTCGTTTTTAAATGCCACAATGATGAGAAAAACTGAAATATTTATTAATTGATATCTTCAAAGTCAGAAGTTTGCATACATTTCCTTAGCGTTTGGTAACTTTGAGTAAAACTGTATTCAGTGTTTGAAGACATAGAAATCATTCTGTATGTTGAGTAATCTTGAAGACATTAATAAATAAATCTGACAGATTCTTTCTTGCATTATTGTAGAATTTAGCAAATAGAAATAATTGAGGTAATTCTGACTGACTTAAAACAAGAGAAGTTTGCTCTGATTTAATTCAGAAAGAGGGGACAAAATGTCTGGTTTCAACCGTAGCTACAAACAGTTAAATAGTTTGGTTCTAACTGGTACAAAATGTAAGTAGCAAGGGAAGGAAATGGCAGTTTTATTATGAATTGGGGTTGAAGTGACCCTGGGGTGGTACAACATGCTGACAGTCTCTTTGACATTCAAGGATTCGTGGCCCCCCTCTGACTCCATCTCAAAACTGTGCCCCAGTAAAAACATTTAGCCTTTTTGCGTTATGAGGGGTTATTAATGGCGAACACTCTTTTTCTTCAGTCTGTTTTGGAATAAAGTAGAGGTTCAACTTTGTGCTTACCCATTTTCATGATGGCACCCATAACACATCAGCTTAAGTAAATATGGTTTGTCTTTAAATGGTCAAATACATCAACATAATTGCTCTTATTCATTCAGCTTGCAGTACTGATCTTTGAACACCAGGGGGGAATATGGTGCCACGGGGATACCTAGAGGCAATCTATTAATCTCGTTTTTGGTGCTGACATTAGGGATAAACTGGGGATTAAATTGGCTTTAATAAAGATAAAACATGTTGAATATGTGCATATTTTTACACCACAAAGGCACATTGCTGTTATGATTCAAACTTTTCAGTCCAAATGCTGACAGCTGTCATTCTCACCGTTGTTTTTACTGTGTGCAGGTACATGCAAAGCCAGTTTCCCAGATGAGAATAAGCTGCATCACTTTCAGCTGGCAGTGTCTCCTGGTAAGAGAAACCTCATTTTGCATCTTGTCAAATATGATCAGAAATGCAGATATCTTATATTTCAATTTAGTCTGCGTAGCTGAAAGTTTGAACTGATGAATTGCGGAAAAACTTCCGCATGCACTCATGTTGTACACAAGGGATTTGAATATAAAGAGAATAAAGACTTTTCTTCAGATTAGGAGTCTCCATATGTTGCCGAGAGCGAAAGTGCATCTGCTGGCTGTTTTGTTTCTAATTGCGCATTCTCACTGAATGGCACTTGGAGCCCTGCTCTGTATTTCCACATTACGGTTACACTTTGATAAGCCCATAGCGAAGTCCATTGTGCATGCTCAGCAGCCTTCCAGGCTAAGTGGGCTACCTATCGAGTGTCGAACAACACAAACACACCAGTGTGGAATTACACAAGTCTCTGGAGGTTGTCTTACCTGTCACTTCCAGTTCCCTACCTGTCACAGGGAAACTGTAACACAGCCTAAACCCGGTGTTACCTTCTCCATTACCTGCATTTAAAAAGCTGCCCAACAGTTAATGTATTATGCAGAAACTAGAAACTGGGAACAAATATCTGTCTGTCTGTCATTAATTAATTACGCAGAGATATTAACAACATGCACAGTTAAAACCACAGTCAGCAAAGGGAATAAAACCCAAGAGTGAAACATTTTGAACATGAACATTTTAAAACAATTTATGTTAAATCTTATAGTTTTACCAATTTTTGTAACATGGGTTTTATAATTTAGCTGAGTATTCAAAATTATTCCGAAATGTTTTTTCTGGGATGCTTGTTCAACGGCATTCCTGTTGGTCTGAACATGCAAGGACCATTATGAAGCTTGAAAACATAAACTTTGTTTTCTTTGTATCATGGGTTAAGAAGGAGTCGTTAAGCGTTGGTATTTTATGTAAAGTGTTGTTAAAGTTTTCATTGGTTGCTTCACAGCTTTTACCAAATATGTAAATGACACTGTCGTCGGCATACATTTGCAGATTTACTTAAGGACAGATTTCTGGTTGACTGTTAATATATGGGCTGAAGAGGACGAGACGTAAAATAGTTCCTTAAGAGATTCCTGTTTCAGTTTTGAGAAAAATAGTTTTACAACACATTGTTCACAATCTTTTAAGTATAACTGAATTATTTTGTTATTAAGAGAGGTGAAAATAATTGATTGGTCCCCTGCTTATTTATTGACTTATGTTTTATTTTGCAAGAACCAAAATTCTAACTTCTGCAGATTAGCTCAGACCTCATGGTACACATAAATCAATTTATCTTTAGCTGCGTTTCCACTGATCATATTATTGCAAAATGGGATTACCAAAATAAGTTTGCTTAATGAAAACATGCCAAATTTGAAAAAAAGCATGTTTTTCTCTAAAGGTTTTTGAACTAGGATAAAGTAGTTATTTTGGCTAAATCAAAATGTGCATTCTGAAAAACTGCACTGGACACAGTTTTTTTGCATCACACGAGTCATGTGATCAACAACCAGACGTTACTACAAGCAAAAAATGACAAAGATGACAGTAAGTGGTAGGTGGATGATGGTGATTCTTGTTTTTTAATGACTTATCGATTGATCAAACTTATTCATGTTTGATTTTAATTATGGATCCTTTTTAATGGAAGCACCGCAATTGCAAAATTGTGTTTTTTCAACAGAACAACAATTTTTTGCTTCCATTTGTTAGGGAAGCATAGCTATTTAGATGCTCCTCACCCTAACTTATGTGTATAAAATCCACCAGTCCAGAGGATAATTTTATTCCGTTTTAACCTCTCGGCCACCACAGACAGACCATAAGAGCTGTCAAAGGACATTAGGGACACCATGGTAGATCTACACATGGCTGGAGGGGGATCCAAGAAAATCAGACGGTTGACAGCTGCTGGTGTGATTACTGGGAAATAGTGGAACTATTTCCACTATGAGACCTCGTGTTGGGTCTGTAGAGGTGAGAATGATCAGGAGCAGGTTTGGTGGTATCATCAACTCCTGCCCATGCATAAAGAGCTTGTTAAGGATCTGAAATTAGGTGGTTCCACAGCAAAACCTTAGTAGAACTAGATCAGACTTCCCTCTCCTCTCTGTTCGATTACGCTTGCATATTTGTAATCCTGCCTCGTCTGTGTCACTCAAACTGGCACCATGACTTCAGATTAGCTGTCAGAAAGAACTTTGTAAGCAATATCTGTGGAGAAAACGCAAAGATCAGCGATTAGTGAAAAGGATTGGTGTCTTGTTCTTTTAAACAGAATTGATATGGAGATTGAGTTCTCAGAGAAAGACTCGCTCAATTATTTAAAAAGACTCCCTCCCCTTGCGCAGCCGTCCCAGTTCACACCGCCTTCCTTTCTCTCTCCTCCTGATTTAGACCTCACAGTTTTGGACTTTGTTCCTGTTGTTACGCACTTTGTTCCGCTTTACTCATCAGTCCGCCAGGTTTGTTTATTTTCAAGCACAGTGTGAAAAGTAATTTAATAAGAAGCACTTCAGATCTTGCTGCGAGGCATGTGTGTGTTTATAGAACAGGATTTGTAATCTTAACCAGCAGTCAAATGAAAAATATTACATCGAATCATGTGTGTCTGTGATGCTGATCGCTATTTTTGTGCGTCTCAGTTCTCTAAATTGAGTTGCAGTAGATGTTTTATCAGTCTTATCCACAGTCAAAAGTATAGGAAAGCTTGCCCTGGGGCTCAGGGTGTCTAGTTTGTTTTGTGTGGTGAAGGTAAAATCATGTTGACTTGTTATATAGAGAATACACAGCTTACGGCCATGCGAGCTTTTCTTGCGTCTTCTCTTTGTGTCGTTTTGTTCTGTTTTCTCATGCTCCTGTTATCGTTTACATATCTCAGGGCTACAATGGGCTGCTTACTCTAGCTCAGCGTTACTTGAGCAGCAAATAGGAGTGCCATGAGTGACTCATGATGATTTTATTTAAACGCAGTTTTAATCGAAACTGCCTCTGTTCTGCTCATTAAAATAGATAGGTATTCCTGTCATTTTCAGTCATCTGATTCAAGACAGCTGTCTCCTCAGTAACATCATGTCATTGTGCTTCATTTGAACAGCACCTGGTGGGAGTAATATCGGAGTTTATGGTCTGTACTTATATCTGAACTTTTCTTATTCAACCCACCACTTTGGGTTAAGCATTTACGTATGGGTTCAGCAAAATGCTGCTGCACAGGTTTGGATAGAATTGGGGTAAATAAGGAAGAAATAGTCAAAAATGTATATTTGTATAGCACATTTCAGCAACAAGGCAGTTCAAAGTGCTTTACATCCCCAGTTAAACGACAGTTAAACGACATTTAACTGAAGTCCTAAAAGGGGTGCAGGTTTTAATGTTTTTATCTTTTTTAATCTTTTTCAAAATGTCTTTCTCTTTCTCACTGTTTTTTCAATGTCACATGCTGTTTTTATTTTAATTATGCGAAGCACTTTGAAATGCCTTGCTGCTGAAATGTTATACAAATCAATCAAACTTGATTGATTTGTATAAAATCAATCAAATTTTATACAAATAAAATTTGATTGATTGATTGATTGATCATAAAAAACATACAGTCACCAAATATGAAACAAGCAATACAGCTGTTTTTTTATTTTTATTGTTTTAGACAGACTTGTCAAGACTGTTGCAGTAATCAATGCAACTAAAGATAAACATATGGATGAGTTTCTCATTAGTCCTTTAATCCTGGAAATGTTCTTCATGTGATAAAAGCCCGACTTTGTCTTTATGTGACTCTGAAGGTTCATGTCTGAGTCCATCACTGCACCCAGATTACAGACCTGATCCGTAATTAGAGTTAACATGTAAATAATAAAAAAATTTGCATGCTGACCCTTGCAGTTTTGTTTCTATTTAACTAAAAGTTGTTCAGTGCCATGAAAATCAATTATTCGGATGGATAGATGGACAAACAGAAATACCTGCTTTCTCTGAAAGAAAAGGATTATCTATGTTTTTTTTTTATATATCTTGATGATCAATCATTTCAGGTGGCTACAATATAGCAAAATGTGGAAAGACCTTCATGGGTAAAAATACTTTAGCTTGATGTTTTATTCACAAACAAAGTCTATTTTATTAGACTATTCTTGAGCGGTCTTCTCATATGAATTCAGAAGCATGCAGGAAAACATCACGGAGGGGGGTTTCAGCTGGAAGCGTGCTCTCACAGCGTGAAATACAGACAATGGTTTGCAGGGAAGCACAAAATGAGGAGGACATGTTTTTCAAAGTACAGCGTGGAAATAACTATTTTTCCTTCACTGCACCTTGGATGATGGATGAGGCTTTCTGTGTCCTGTTTTTGTGCTGGAATTTACACCATGTGTTACTGGGTCTGCCCAAGTATTGATGAGTGGGTCTGAAGAATCATTCTGGTCAGCAGAAAAGTGTGAAAGGCAGCAGCCCTTAGAACGGTGCACACTTGCAGTTAAATGGCCTGGAGACTCCTTGTTACATTTGCACATTGTTCCACTTCCTCTGGGTGTTTTGCTTGGAGCCCATGTGGAAAATAGAACAGCTTGAACACTCCGGTTCAAACATGAAAACGGGCTTATTTTTGTATTTTGTCTGGTTGTGCAAAAATAAATGGGGGAAAAAAATCAATTTTTATGCATTTGTTTGCAGTTTTAATTGTCTCCTCCTGCTTCTCCAAGCTTAGTTTTCTTTTTCCATTAAACTGGTTCTTATTTGTGGCGTCAGGCTCTGAGTCTTTGAGGGATGGGGACTCCAGCAACACTGCGAGGTGAACATGTTCTGACCCATCTTTTATTCACAGGATAACCAGGACACTAATGAAAGAGAAACTGGACAGAAGATTACATGTGTCTCTGTATTGAACGTGTCTTTCTGCTGTTTTGCATGGCAATAAAAGGCATATTGTTTTGAATATTGCACCATAGAGATGCAGAGGGAGTGCATCTAATTAAAGTATTCTAGTTAAATGGGACAAAAGATGAAAAATATGGATAATTATAGTCATAGTTACATCTGATACAAAGATTACATCTTTTAAAACCAAAAGTGCAGAGGTTGTGTTGTTCTGTAACTTTTAGAAATATGTCCTGTTTAAATGATGACAATAAATTGTATCCCATTTGATTTGACATATTTTTTCATAAATCTGCTTAAGCGTGAGCTCAGTTTTTAAAATGTGCATATTATCCTTTCATATTATTATTAGAAATGATTTCCCCCTCTAGTTAGTAAGTAGAAGTGTTTTGAAAGTCTTCACAATGAATCCTCTTTTGACTTGTATGATTTACTTATGAAGGATGTGAATTATTTAAATGCCTTGTTGCCTCTCTTTTGTCTTGCTGGATTCAAACAAAATTATTGAATAGACAAGTTCCTGTTTGGAGAAATGCAAAAAAAGATACACTTCCTTTTGGATCTCCATCTTTTTTTTTTTTTTTTTTTTTTTTTTTTTTTAAGTTCAAGATTTAAATTTTCAGCCTTTGGGCCAAATGTTTCTCTTATAAATATGAGTGGCATAGTGCTCTCAGTAACAATAAATATCAAAGTCAGTTAGATTGAGACTTACCAGCCTGAGGAGTAAGCAGTAACATTTTTAAAAGTCAAATATTTCTTAACAACAATGTCTGATTGTTTTTCTTGCCTGCTGCAGACAGTCATGAATTGTTCATTACTTCTTACCGAATCTGTTATACAGAGGATGTTCATGGTTTTGTGCCTTCCTCTTGCTCCTTCTTTTATTCATCCATCAAAATTCTAGTCCCTTGATCATTTTGGCCTCTCATTTTCTTACCACTTACACATGTTCTGGGTTCCTGCACAGTCTTGAAAAGTGTTGAATACAATTTTAGTATTTTTCAGATCTTTTAGTGGAAAATACTTGTATTTCCACAGTTTGTATCCTGTGCCAATTTAAGAAGATACAGACCTTTGGAAATAGTTTTTCTAAACACATTTTTATATAAAAGATGTTATGAAAATGACAACCTCAAAATCATGAATTTAATACTTCATGGAGCAGTGGTGGATGCTGCTAACTAAAAAACTACGACAAGAAATGTAATTTTTATTATTTGTATGTTTAGTACATTTGATGCATTGACAATAAACCAGACTTTGACTTTGATTTCACATTTCTTTCTAAAATATTATGTCTAGATCATAGCAAAGAGAAAACAGTTTGGTATTAAATGTCTCCCTGGTGGGTATGAAGTAAAGGTTGGTATAAAACATCCCGTGGCAGCCGCCGCCTTCTTGTTTAGGTACGGAAACACCAAAATTACTCAAGATAATTGAGAAAAAAGAGGCGCACCCCACTTCAGAATAACACATGTTTGGGGATTAATCAGATTAATAGCAAAAGAAAAACAAAATGGTATATTTAATTTGGCTAATTAAGAAGAATACATTTTTTAGACTCAGGAAAGAGAAGTATTTTGTGTGTTTGTGTGTGTTGATGGCCAAAACTAACAAACATAAAAAGCAACAAAATGATTAATTAGCAATTAGAAACAATTTTGTGGCTTCTATCAATGCATAGCCCTCTTTAGATCCAATGTTCTGCANTAGTCCAGNTTTGAAAGTTAATAAATGATCATAATAAAATGTCCTGTTGAAGCAGAACTTGTTCTTAACTGTCTGAAAACACAACATGTGTTTTAAATAATGATGTTGGCACTGCAGGATCCGTTAAATCTGGCAAAATAAATGGATTTACTGAAATAAACATGTTCAGTTATTCTTAATGTTTGGATGCTGTAAAACAGTAACTACCACAATAACTGTTTGTTAGTCCAATTCTGAAGCGATAAATTCTCTTTAAGAAGAAGGAGCTTCGGATGGGAGCTGATTAAAAATGTTTTTGTTTCTTTTTACATTTAGATGAATAAAACCAGTTTTTAGGTCACTTTGTCTGATCTCTTGGTGATGAAGGAACACCTAACCTTCATAATTACTGGATAATAATGGAATGCTTTTTCGACAGGGATTTTTTTTGTTGCTGTTATAAAGACATTTGTTTCCGTCTGTTAATAATTGCTCTTTTTCTCTCCTCAGATGAAGGTTACTACCAAAGTGGAAGGTTTCAGTTTGAAATAGATGTCCCTGAAGCCTATAACATGGTGGTGAGTAGTTTTGAATATTTTATTTCAGATGTTTAGGTGTTGGGCTTTTACCTTCATGTGAAACATTTGGAAAGGCTGTCAAGTTTTTTTCAAACTTATTTGGAAATGTGGATGTTTACCTTAAATTATAACAGCTATGAGAAATTCATATAATTATCCCAGGGAGGGACCAACAACCAGGGTATCTAGAATAATGCTTTTTTTCTAATATATGTATCTAAAATTTAATTATTCTAAGGATCACATATGGGTGAGCATTAAACTGATATCCGAAAGAATTGTACATTGGTTGAACGGGATAAAACATCCCAGTCTTTGTTTTCGTTTTTATTTCAACACTATAACAAAACAGGTTTTGGTTTTGTACTAACATATAGAGCATTTCTACATGATACAGATAGGATAATAACATTTTAGATCACACAGAGTCAGTAATGGCAACTAAAGTAACTTCTTAAGCCTAAGGAGCTTCAGTTTTCGTTTTATGTCGCATTATTCTGTACAAACAAACTGGAGTTCACTGCAGCTGCTCATCTGCTCATAAAGTTAAATTGAGTGCTCTCAGGGTTGGAGGTTTCTTTATGCCCTTCATTAACATGTTTTCATTTATTATTAATGCTTCATTTAAAGAGAAAGAGACTCTTGAGTTTTAAAATCCAATTTACCAGAGTGCCATGGTCAAGATGACAGCAGGTCAAAATAACACAACACAACATAAAAAGTTGCTACAGTACAAGAAAGTTAATTAAAAACGAAGAAAATGAAACAAAAAGTGGCCTAATGGCATGTAAACACTTGATTACTTCCAAAGTCAAAAATCCCAATATTATATACGGTGTGGAAAGGTTTCTGCTTGTCTCTAAGAGAATTATTTATATTCACTCTTACATTTTAATGCTTATCTAAGTACATCTTTGTTTGGTGCAAGAACATAGAAATGACATCGCAAATTCTAATGATCATATATTAAATAATTATTCCTGTCATACTTGATTTTAATAGAAATCTGAAAAGAAATACCAGCTAAAACCATTAACATGCTGACATTCTAACAGCATACTTACAATACTGTATTTAAGTGAAAGCACAACCCAGATGAACTCGTATCTCTTGTCTGAGTAATATTGGAAGAAGAGCAAAACCCCTGGAACTGCTGGCCTAGAATGCCAGGTCAGGACTTATAAAAATAGTAAATTGGTGCAGTGAGGCTGTGGTGAATGCAGACGATCAATATAAACCTCTTTTCGCTGCTTTTCCAGAGGTCACACTTTGCTCTTTACTTCCTACTTACTTTGCTCCATACTTTCCACTATTGAGAGTTTATTTTAAACTTGTTTAGCATCTTTCTCTTTCTCTGTTTAGAAATGAACCTAAAGTGATCCAGAAGTTAACCAGGCAATAGGGACAAAAGGCTAATGTCACTGAAACCAAATTTTGGTCACAGGGAAATGTGCATGAATTAATGAAATTTTGACACAGATTTAAATATGTTTAGTGACCTGTTGCACACCCACACATGGCTAAAACTCCCCCTATGCTAAGACTTTCTCTCAATGGAAGATCCTGAGGAACAATACGTTGAAGAAGGCTCAAAGAGCACAACAAAGAGCCTGTGTTTAACTTTCCAGATAAAAATCAGCTGGTTTCTGCTGGGGAACCGAATCCCTGGAGACTCTATTCCACAATCCAGAGGTGGTATTAGATTATCCAGACCACCTTTAGGTGATGTTGTTCATGCCAAATACTGATATGAAATTGTTGTGTGATTGTGACCAGTGACAAATCTTCCATTGAAATACTGCTGTTATAACACATTATGTCCTCCGTAAACCATATAGTCAAAGGCCTAATAAACTTTTAATTTCTTGCTTTTTCTGTATTTTTTTCCAGCCTCCTAAAGTCAGATGTCTGACCAGAATATGGCATCCGAATATCACAGAAAATGGAGAGATCTGTTTGAGGTATTCCTCTATGGCTTTTTACCATTCTGTCACTTTTGTCCTTATAGTTTAGGCTGTTTTAATTGGTATTCTGTAGAGAGGTCCTAACTCATTTTCTGCTATTAAAAAAAAGGAAATTACTTTACTGGTGCTGTAATTGTAGTTTTCTAAGGGAATTTGTCCCTTCATAATTGGTTTGAGCACCAGCAGGAATTGATTGATATTCCTAATACAGTTAGAAAACAGAGAATAGAGTGACCTGCATTGTTTCTTTTTTTCTGCAGCTTATTGAGAGAACATTCAATTGACGGCACAGGTTGGGCACCAACTAGAACGTTAAAGGTAAAATGCGTTTATTGTGGTTATAAATTGCGTATCTTAAAGAATTTGAAGAGTTTCTGAAAACTGGTAGCATTAATATCTGTATTAGAAACGAGTATGAACCATTCTGATGTACAGATTTACAGAAGCCGTTCTGTTGTAGCTGTCTTGGTCTAGCAGAATGAAGGAGGCTAAATACAAATAAACCAAAACTGAAATAAACCAAGCATTATTTTCCTTCCACATTGAGTGCGTTTGTCAGTTGAATTATACAGGACAAATGTCACTTTTAAGGTAAAAATATATTAATTTATATTCTATTATTTATTGTTGTCTTATTTATTGCAAGTCAAAAAATGCTGGTATTTTAAAAGGGTTGTGTTGACTTTTGAGATTGACTGTAAAGTATTGTTAAAGTTCACAACAGGCTCAGTATATTTAGATTTTTTGCTTTGAAAACATTTTAATTTGCCTCAATTCAAGAGGTGAACTTTCAAATTAAAAGCTCACCTTTTAATTTGGGTTTCTGTCTACAGTGACCTTCAGATCACCTTCTCTTGTAAGGTTTTTTTATGTTCAGAGGATGAAACAGAGGAGGCCATTTAGCTTTGAGAGCAAGGTCCCTTGCCGCATTGACTAAATATTTGTTGTAATTATGGCATTGCTATCTGGAACACCAGAAACGATGCTGTTGACAGTGTCACCTCTTATATAATGAGCCACTGTGGCTTTGCTAAACGGCTATTTTTGACATTTAGTAGAAAGTTAAGGCATGACGCTTTCTATGGATCCGTTCCGACCTCATCACTGGGTTGTTTAACGTAAACTGAAAAATGAAAACTTTTTCACTTGCATTTAAAAGAGTTCGCTGAGTTTTCAAGTTTACTGTTCAGTCAAACTGTCCTTTTCAAGCCGTTAAAGAAAAGTAAAAGAGGTTTAAAGCAAGGACACTCTCTTCGATCCTCACTTAGGATTTGACGAAAATTACCTCTGATAGGAACTACGACTTTAAACTTTATTATACAAGGAAGGAGCTCTGCCCTCCATGCTAAAACTGGCTGCTTTTCTCCAAAGAGACCCAAGACTAGATCAACATTCTCCTCAGTATCTGCACTGGTTTTCTCCTTGAATACAAACTATGACGACCGCTAAAGTAACTGTTTTTGTCAAAATTTTAGAGTTTATGATTTGGGAGTTTTTCACTGTTTTGTCCTCACTTTTCTTATAGTTCTGGACAAAACAACTGTCTCTTGAGTTTTCTATTGTTTAAAATGTTGAATATATCAAGTGCATAAAATAATTGTCAACAATAACAATAGTTTTGAAAGATTATCTCTTGCTAAATTGATTGGTATTATATTTAAGCATAATAGTTTAGCTGTGACATTGTATATTTGTTTCACTTTAGTCTACATGAAACTATTCTTGCTATTCAGTTCAAATATCTTCACATTTACAGGTTCTGCTGTGTTTTCAGCCATCTGTTTCCCCCTTGTCTTATCTTCCATTAGAGCCTCTGGGATTGAAAGGTCACCAGAATTCACAGGGGGACTATAATGAACTGCAACTGCTTTTACTTCATGTTTATTTGAACAGGCATTCGTTTTTTTCCTACTAGCTCTAATTGTGATGGATATTTCTCAACCCTTTGGGACTTGGATACAGTGGACCCCCAGTGTTATGGGGTTTAGGGACTACAGCCACCCACGGAAAGCTGAAACTTGAGACCCCCTCTAAAAACTCTTGTAACTGCCTATTTTAATAGTTCACCCACCAAACATACTTTAATATGCATTAATATGCACAGTGGAAACAATTTTAGCGCTATCACAGAAGCTAACATCCACAATCTTTGTTATCTCTACTCTTGGGGAATTAGCCGAGGAAAATGAACGGTGCTCCTGGATTGGCTGCTTTGCAAATGCCTTCCAGTAACTTGTCAATTAGCATTGTGCCGAGGTGTTTCAGCATCCAAAGCTCAATTTATTTTGGTTATTTTGAAGAAACCTGTGAATAAACAAATGCTACTCAAATATTTCAGAGTGCGCTAAAAGTATGTTTCAGAAGTTTCAAACAAAACCCAATAATACCACATTCCCTAAGCGTCATAATAGGGCTTTGGAAAATGAAGCTGAGAGTATTCACAGTTTTGATGAACATCTTTATATTTCACATCCAATATCACCTGAATTAAGGTTTTAGATGAACTGACTGTTTATAATGCCAGATATGTGAAAATTACCCAGTTTAAAGTTTCCATAAAAGTATTTCTATACCTCTTATTTGAATTCACTATGTACACCCATATTATGTTTTTCCTTGTGTAACACAACTTAATTCAACATGAAGAATGGTTTTGTCAGAAATTGCACATGTCTTTTAACTGACGTGTGTAGGATCTTTCAAAGAAATAAAAAATAAAAATTAAAAAAAATCCCAGAAATACTCTAAGCCTCAGTTAGATGACAGTACAGTTAGAAAAAACTAAACAAGCTTCTCTCTAAAATGAGCGCAGTGTGATTTTGGCTTCTCCTTTTTTTCTTTAAAATCAAAAACACTGCTTGAAAATGTACAGCAAATGGAAAATTTGAGATTTTTGTCTATAATTCATTTAGCAAAAACTAAAAGCTGTACGCTCACTGTACAGCACAGGGCTGGACGGATGATAATGTGAGAATACTTGTGCTGGTTCAGCCTATTATTCTGACAAATGGTCCCAGCCATCAGTAACAGTGTAAATAAATTTGAGTCAAAACCTTTTAATACACAACCAAGAGACTGATAAAGTTATTTAGACATCAGCAACACACGAGTTGCCTCTTCTGTCAGCTGTTGTTATTCTGGAAAAACGCTCCTGTGTTTAGTCAAAGGTAGGTGTGGATGTGGTCATAGGCGTGTGAGCGGTTGAGCTTGAGTTCAGGTGTGTCACCCAGTGTCAGAGCGTGCACAAAAATATGTGGGAAAAATACAAAAAACAAAGGTGCAAAAGCTGCTAAGCAGAATGTGTGTTGAGCGGGTGGTTTGTCCCTGTTCTCTGATCACCACTGGAACCCACACGTGAAGCACAAGCTTCTTTTCCTTCTTACGATATGCATACTGCATATCGAATGCTCTTTAATCTGAGCTCATTCTGCTTGTCTTATTCATTTTTTTAAGTTATAAAACTGACAAAACTGGTGTGAAAAATATATACTCAGAAACAGAAAACATTTGATAAATTTTATAGGTTTGGAGAACTTGATCCTGGTTTACTACATGATTTTATTTTGTGACATACAAATGTAACATTTGGCAATAAAAATGTAGTTTAAACTATTTTTATTATAAATAAAACTTGTTTTATTAAAAAAAGAGTTTGAGCTCAGATTGAAGAGGGAGCTTTAGTGAGATATCATGGGTTGTTATGAAGCTTTTCTTTTGACCCTGTAATGTTTTTATTCTCATTCTGATTGCTTTGTGCACAAGTGTCCTGGTGAGGAGATGTTTATGATTTCAGCAGGATTTAAATAATCTGTTTAGAGCCAGCTCTAGATAGTTTTCTGCTGCTTAGTAACGTTAGTTATTTTTAATACCAATAGATAAACTGAGTTCAAACAAAATTGAGAGCTTGTTTCAGTCTAATATCAGCAACTTCCATGTAGTATTTTATCTAACCAATCTCTGGAAAGCAGTGTGCACCAGTGTAGCCAGTAAAATTAACTGGTGTCTGCACACATCCATCGACAAGCAAGTATACGTTTTTGAGAGAAAATGAGAAATATTTGAGGATTGCAAAATGATTTGTTTATCCAGAATACTTGAGAAGAGTCAGAAAAGTGTAATTTTTAAATCACTTAATCAGCATGTTTACTTCATATTTTTTGAAAGTTTTGTGAATAATTTAGAAAACCTTGGTGTGAAAATATTCATTGTGTAGCATAGACACTTTTTTTGTTTTGCTATTGAAATATGTTTGCTCAGTGTGCATGAATGCATACATGATTTAAAAACAAAACAAAACAAAACAAACAAACAAAAAAACATCCATCTCATTTAACATGAAATTTTCCGCAGAATAACTGCGGAAAATTTCCATTATTGACAGCACAAAACAGATGTTCAGAACGACTCTTCTAAAGCTGAAACCATTCAAGAATCATTGCTCCTTCTTAGAATATAAATGGAGTTAATCAATCTGGAATGAATGAGAAGTGACTTGAAAAAGCTTCTAAACATTAAAAGTAATTGTCAATTAAAAATGAGCTACTTTGTATTGAAGCAAAACTGGAGGATATTCTTTTTCTGTTTGTCTTTATTTTCATTTTTGATCAATGCTGGGAAATTAATTGCATCTGTCTGAACTGTCTCTGCAAATAGAAATGTCAGGATAATAAAAGCTAAAAGGGAAATGAAAAAGCTGTTTTTGTTGTTCTGTGTTTAAGTCCTGCCACCTGTAGTTGCTGCTAACTTGAAAAACAAGCCAGAACCCACAGGACCTGTGGGTCATTTAATAACAGAAATGGACAAGATGATGTTTTATTTTAAGCGAGCTGTTGAAGAGACGCCTCTGAAGGTTACTGCTTTACTTGTGCTGCATATTAATGAAACTTAGCCTTTTGAAAAACAATGTGTAACTGGACTCTTCTTTGGCACAACTAACATCTGTAGATAATCCTTATCAACATAGACAGCTTGTCTTAATTGCTCCTACAGCATGCAGTGTTAATTAGCAGGCTTTAGCTAATCAAGGTAAACATGTTTTCAAAAGCTGATTATGCTCAACAGGCTTTATTGTGTCTCCATTTGCTCATGGATGTAAGATTAACTGAGTCCCTAGTAAGAAAATCTATTATAATGCATCTCCAATTTTTAAATCGATTTATAATCAACAATTTTGACCACAAAGTCCAATATGGCTTCCATTATTATTAAACTGTTTATATCCAGTTCTGACTTTCAGGTCTTAAATCCAAACAGCACACACTAGCGCACCACTATTTATTTAGTCTGTGAATTCCTGAATGCACTGTTGTCTTTTGTGAGATTAACTGACATTACCCATGTTACCCACACTTTAAATAGAGTTTATTGAGCTCAAGAGGAATTGTGATGACTGCCATTATCAGGATAGAGAAGAGGAAAGTGAGGAAAATGTGGGTTGGTTGCAGTCAATATTGTTCTCATGATAATTAGTAAGTTTTTTTATTTTATTTTTTATTGTGCTGTCTTAGTTGTAAACCTAGTGGTAGAAATTAGAACTAAAAGTACAGAAATGTTAATTTAACTTTACATTTGTAACATTTAAGTTTTATAAGAGTAAGCACACATTTTAATGCAAATCATTTATTTTGTCTTTTCTAGGATGTGGTCTGGGGATTGAACTCCTTGTTTACTGTAAGTAAAACGTTTACTTTTTTTGAGGGTAAAATTGACACATTTAACTCTAATTTCAACCATCAGTGGCAAAAGTCAAACATAATGCTGTAGTTTCTGCTAAATGCCCCCCAAACAGGCCACTGAAGAAGTGTTAAAATGGATTACTCAAATATTCAATCACAGAATATTTTTTGACCTCAGTAAATCTTCACTGCCAAAGTTTCTCAATGTATTTAAATGGAATTATTCTAAATCCAGATCCAAATAAACAAGGTCACTGTTAATCCCTCTTTAAAGATGTACTGAGACCATAAATTCTGACTTGGGGGAAATCATGTATCTCGTTATGAAGAACACTTTGATGTAACTTCGAGGTCGAAGCGGGAAAATTTGAGTGCAAGTCACGTTTTGGAGACGCCAGCCGGCTCAGGAAGCTCGCTACTGCCACCTCTCCTTAGGGTACGCAGTTATACTTTATGTTTCTCGTGAAAAGAAAATGATAAAAGGAACATTACTGCTACAATTAACCTTTTAAAAATATACCTTGGTGATGAAAGAATGGAAAAATTCAAAAGGCGACATAAAAACTACCTGAAAATATGCTACATAATAAATCAAGCATTACCAAATAGACTTTTTATTGATTCTTTGTTGAAAATATCTGTTCTTACCCTGAGGTTAGCACTGTGTTCATGGTGATAATGGTGATCTTACCGCTTTATTAGGAAATAACCTCCCAGGCCGTCCTCTGTTTTTATCTCTTTAATAGCACGCCTGCCTCTCTTGTTGTGTGTGGCGTCGCTAAGGCGACTGTGTTATTAAACTGTTTGTCGCAGTGACAGGCGCTGCGGTGACATTACACACAGTTGGTGGTGTTGAAGTGGATTTTATTTCCCACGACAGCTTTTCCTAATTAACAACATTTGACCCACAGAATGAAGAGCTGAGTCCTGAAAGTATGCTAATAAAATGACAGAACATTGAACAGCCTCTAGGCACAAATAGTTTAGAAGTGATGAATGTTTTTCAGTGTTTGACTCACCATCTCTGCTCTGACCCTTTTTTTATTATTATTGTGGTTATTTTTAATCGGGCCTTCCCTCAATTTACCTCTTCTTCAGGACCTGCTGAACTTCGATGACCCACTGAACATCGACGCAGCAGAACATCATCTGAGAGACAAGGTGAAGTACAGTCAGGATGAATTTAGGTCTCTTTTCATCATCACATTAGGAGATGCTGCAAGCAAGGATTGTGGACTTTTAAATGCATTTAATTCACTTCTGCATAATTTCTGAGAATCGCCTGCAGTCTTTTTAAATAAATTTTACATCTGCTTGTGTGAACACCCTGCATAAAAATCTGTTTAAACCAGATCATCACCGTGCAGCTGCGACACTTCCTGCTGCAGCTTTTTCTGAAACACCATGGGATTTAGTTGCTGTTGTAGGAGGTGTAATGTGATAATAGAAGTGCTTTAGTTTGGTCTAGTGGGCTGAAGCTGCCTTTCTGGGAACACAGTGACTGTGGACACGCCAAGGCTGTGTTCACAGGAAGGCACTTGGCCACACACTGCTGCTAAATTTGGTACCTCTACAGCAGACGACAGGAGGTTCAGTTTGCAAATCAAATAATCATATTAAAGCAGATCCCTGGATCTTGCACCCTTTACTGCTGTGAGAAGTGTAAGCACATTCTGATAAGCTTAATTCAGCGTAATGGTGTTGAAGCTTTGCGTTGTGAAACCATCTTGAAACTATTCTTCAGGATTAATTAAATCCTTTCTTTCCTTCTGCTCTAAATTTTACAGTGCATTAAAAAACAATCTGATTCAAGCAAGAGAAGGATGTGTAATCAATCCACAAATTAGCAGTAGTCTTTTTTGCAAAAGTATTGATATCCCTTTTTATAAACGTTTTGGTATCAGAGGTAAAGGGGCTGAACTTGGTTACATGTCACACTTCTCACTAGTTTACTTGGAAAAAATGTGAAAAGCATGATTGCTATTCTTTCCAATTTACAACTGTGGACTTAGTTTTTAATTTCAGTTTTCATGAGACCAATAAAAAGAAGTTTGTTGTGGGAAAAAGGTTCGAAGGTTATGCAGGTTTTATGGGGTAATGTCATATCATCCAAAAAGACCTACTTACTATCTTACATTTATGAGATCGTTATTCTTACACAATCAAAAATAAATCCCAGTTTGTTTGTTACTGAGGGAGCCAGGATTTGTCATGTGGCAATTGTAAAAATAATATTGTAAAGTCTGTAACCATAAATTCACAGTTCAAATGGCTTTAAAAAAACAACAGGTGGGATTTTTGCACTGTCAGTGTTAAGATCTGAGCTCCTGTTTTCCACAGTCAGACTCTGTTGCTTGACTCTACAACAGTAGAGTCAAGCTGTTGCCTGACTCTACTGAGTCAGGCAACAGCTGAAGGTGTAAGTGAAGAGAGTTTACGCAGATAAATAGTCATAAACCTCAATGAAGCTTGACTAATGTAGCCAAGACATGAAGGGCAAAAGTTACCTACAATTCTAAACTTTATTTCATTTCATTATATTGCCGCTGATGCTAAAGCCACATTTCTTTTTAGAAATTTGCATAATTTTGTCTTTGATGATGAACTGCAATAGTATGCTATAGTTTCTGACTAGTTTTTGGCTGTCCTTGTCAACAAAATCTTTTTAATTAACACAATTTTTTTAGCACATGAATGAAGTATTATGTTTTTAACTGTACTTGCTTTATTGTTAACCATAGCGGCTAATTCCTTTACTACTGATCAGAGGAATAATGAGGTTATTTTTGCATCTTCACAATTTTGTAGATTTAGACTTTGTCAGATATGAAACAACCAGATCAAATGGGGTCAAAATATCCATAATTTTTTCAAACCTTCTGGACCCTTCAAGTTAAAAGATTATTTTTACATTGACAAAACATTAGGTTACTCTCAGACAAGTATTTGTCAGTGTTGGATGTTATCATGCTGGATTTGTCCATTTTATGCAACATAAGAACTAGTAAACATGTGGTTCATGCTCACAGTTCAGTTCTAAAATCCCAGTTCTCTGCATGTTATCAGTAATACTAATGGTGCTGGTCGGTGGACCAGGTTGCTACAGCAGGAGGTTCATTAGGGGCTTACATATGACTTCAGTGATGGTCTGCAGTGAAGCAGACACCATACACTTTGCATCCTGCTGGATGGTGTCTCAGCACCTTACATTTCTATTTCCGTTCTCTGTTTCCACCAGAGTCTGATGTGCTGTGACGCAGCAGAAAAGATGCAGTGTTGGACTAAGTCTTGTGTAAACATCTGAAGTCTGTTCTGTTAGCAGAAACTACCGGCGTTAGAACAACTGAGCTCATCTGAAGATGATCGATGGAAGCGTTAAAAACAAACCTCTTTTAATGCATTACGTAAATCTATTTTCAGCATATTTAGAGCTACTTCACCGTCCTGTTGCTCTTCTATGAAGTCACAACAGCTGAAAACATGAAGTTGCTCAACCATGACCCCCCTCCCGCTGAGTCACAGTGTGCCATAATCAACTTCAGGAGTGAGCGGATAGAGGTGTGGGAGGTGTGTGTGTGTGTGTGTGTGTGTGTGTGTGTGTGTGTGAATTCTTTTATATGTAGATGGATTTGCTTTTGTGTGTCGGAGCTTTTAAAGTGGTGCTACTCCTCTAACTGCTCTCTGAATACATTACCGGTTAAAGTGGCTGAAAGGTAGCACTCTCTGAGGCTGAATGTAGTGTGCAGTTTGTTACCGACTTCAGTTTCTGACAACTAGTTTGAGTACTATAATAAATATATAAATTCCTATTTCTCAATATCCCGGACATTTTTAGTCTATTTTAAAACTAAATCAAGGCCAGACAGAGAGAAGACTATGTTTGTCCTTGCAAACATTTCTGTTTGATGCTTTGTAAGAGCACTTTAAAAAGCAAACACACTGACATTTGAAGTCCTTTTTACCAATTATCTTAGCCCAGTATTTATATAAATAGGGCATTTCAACAGACAGATTGCCATCTGGTTTCCTGGCACCCAGAATCTAAGACTAAGATATTTATTTATTTATTTATTTATTTATTGCTGTGGAAGTATTTTCTTTGGGTATCTCCGATTTTAATAAAAGTGGATTTTTCTTCCTCTTTTGACACCTACACTGCCTAAAAATTGCCCACTATATTATATATGCTGTCAACAGCAAACTAAAAAGACATTATTTTATAAGTTGTATATTTTCTGCCTGCAGTTGATTTGCCCTCCAGCTTCAACACATCAATTCGTTTCTGTAAAGGAGTGTTTTCTTGCAGTAGCATCATCTTAAATGGAACATTTTGAAAAATTCAAACCGTTCATTTGATTATATTTTATTAGATAATCTTAATAATATATGTCTGTCACAAAACCACTAATTGCACATTAATAGCTATAAATGGCATTTGTGGTATCCACTCTGTAATACATAAAGACTAGAAAGCACAAAATTTAAGTGATGCAAATACAATGGCATCACATTACTCCCAAAGACCCAGAGGAAGGTGTTAAGCAGTCTCAACAGCACATTTATGGATTGAGAGCGTATAGCTCTGATTGTGGGCATTTCCATTTATTTGCAGACCCATTTGCCTCCTATTCTCCTCCCATCTGTTTGCTCTCAGAGGAAAATTGTGTTTGCTGTCTGTGTTTAAAGGACGTATTTGCCAGGTGTTTGTAATAACTCTTCTGATTGTTCTGATTGGCCAGATTTTAAGCTAAAATTTGGTGACAGACAGCATGGACTTGGCCTAAAAGGAGATCCTGCATCCCCAGAACAGATCTTTAATGTCTTTTGTTGCTAAGCCTTTCAACAATTTAGAAACTAACAAAAGCAAACCTGTGAAGACAATGTTGCAGTGTTCAGTGTGACTAAACATAAACGCATGTATGAGTTTCTCTAGATCTAGTTGGGATATTAGTCCTTTAGTCCTAAAGATAATCTATATAATCAGAAGGCTGATTTTAATTGATTTTTGATTGTCTTCTGTGTCTCTGAAGGTTCAGATCTGAGTCAATCACTACATCCATTTATCTTTTACGTTCTGGTCAATTATCCAGTGTCTAAAAGTACCGTAGTAAGGTTGTGCTTAGAGACATTTTCTACACCTTTCAAAAGAAATAACCGGCTGGAGGTTGGTCTCTCACATTCAAGCACCCAACACCATTATACAAGTGTATAACTTTGTTGCTTAGCTGATCTTGCTAGTCCTATTTTAACAACATAAATCAAGTAGAAGTGAACAATGGTACAGGCAGAGCTTATCAATACCTATAGCTATAATATTTATACAAAAATGGCCGTAAAACCTGAAACAGGTGAAGAAGTCTCATACTATCCTCACCCTAATGAAAAGTACACATTGGTACTTGCAACACAAGGATTGGAGAAGCTTTTTGCTTTGATATGGAGCATCTGTTCACCTTCTGTTCAAGTGTAACACCTTGGAGAATCTGTAACTGCCTCAGCACCACAGTTCACTTTCTCCTTTCCTGATAAAATCTGCACATTTCCACTAATTATACCGATCGTTTGCTGAGACCACCTCTTCTGGTCTCTACCCTCATCAGTTATCTCGTGTGGCTTAGCTTTTCATCAAGATTTAGTCATGTCAAGCACGCTGACCCACAATCCATTTACTCCATCCTGATTGGAGCTCTGTTCCCCTCATCAGCTTTCCTCCTGCCAGCTCAAAACTCTGTGGGCCTGTGTAGACCCTCATTAGGGTACCAAAGGTAGACCACATTGATCCTCTTTGTCTCAGTGTGTAAACAAAAACAGAGCTCACTTATTGGGTATGCAGTCTTTAACTCTTTGCAACTCAACAACAGTTGGCCAAGTTTCAGTGGATTATTCTATACTATGAAAGTTCATTACAGATTATCTGTCTTTGACAAACCACTGATAAGACTTTTCCTGTACTATGGGGGCAAGTCAAATGCTCAAATATGTGTCTGCAGGTAAACCAGACTTGGTTTTAACATATTTGACAAATAATTGAGTCTGTAGTTAGATTTGTGTGCTCTCTCACTTTTTTCTCTCCTGCAGTGCATGGGGTAATGTGTGTTTGAGAGGTCTAAACCCAACTGCAGCATAACAACAGATCTTATTATTGCTTTTGTTTTCTGCAG